TATATATATATATCAGCATCAAATCGCAACCAAGCTGGACTTAAATGAAAAAGCATATGGCGCGAAGAACTTTCAAGAAGTAAGCATTTCGAGTCTATCAAAAATTAGACTCGAAGAACAGAAAACCTTTCAAAACTTTCCCTACACGAACAGCTCTTGCACCGTCAATCAAATATAGAGAAATTAGTCATCTAAATACCTAGCATGTAATCTTGGACAAATTTCTTTGTTAACACAAGACATACATTTCGGGCGGAATGAACAAATGCGTGTTCCAAACCAGTATGTCGCCTCACTAATAACACCCCACTTTCCACGCGGAACAAACTTCTCAAGCGCGTCCTTGGTATCTTCATAGGTACTAGTACAAGTCTGGAAAGAGAGTAAACAATCAAATTTTCCACAATTATGTACGCATAACTTTATGACCTCTACTATCTCTTTTATTTGGTTTAACTTTTTTCCGAAAAAACTTTATTAACTTTTGTGTTGCAGTAGACCAGAATCGTTTAATTCAACTAACAACTAATTTATTGATATTAATTAAATACATCCCACAAGGATAATTTGAAAAGTATTCGATTTTCATGATTTTATGTTATTATTTGAAATATGAAAAATGTATAGCATACCCAACCAAGTCTGTTCGAAATTAAGTGCAAACGTAAGTGTACGGCAATGCCTTCTATCCTCTTCCATGCGTATTGTGAGGCAAGTAGAGCAGTAATCGGTTTTACGCCTGGTAGCGACCATAAATCTTGCAATGTTTCAGGGATGTCGTCATTGTATTTTTCGTGTAAAATCTCAACTGTTTTTTTAATATCCTCTGCCCGTTGCTGAATTAAAAATTCTTTAAAAAATTGTCATTCACTGCAAAAAGTAAAAAATATTGAACTTTTCAGCTTCAAAAGACAACCTTTTGCCTTATATTCCGAATACACAAAACCAAATTGTCTATCAAAACATTTTGACTCTGATGTTGTTCAAACCAACCCTGTAGTACCTAAGAGGAAACAGACACTTTGAAATACGATCAGATGTCGCTGCCCTAAGTTGTTCTACGTTGCAACCGAATTCGCGTAACTTCTAAAACAAAAATTTTTAAAAACGAGGGAACAATCGGTTTACCAGTGAAAAAAGTTTAAACAAAACGAATGATTAGTAGGCAACTGAAGAAAACAGTAGCGCAATAAGTACTTGCCATTTTTCTAAGCAGTTACATAGCAAAAATAAAAAAGAGAACACCTTTATTTCACCTGCATAGCAGAAGTAACAGCATCTGGCAAATTCTGATATGAAAGCATGAGAGCCACTAACACTTGTAGTCGAAACACCTAAAGAAAATTGGCGCTACAATGCGGTATCATATCTGTATTATATCACCACCTACTATAAGAAAGTAATAATCGTAAGCACAATAAAAGCTTCAAATTCCGCACTGAAAGTGGTTGAACTTATTGAATCTATTGCTAAAATTCAATTCTTCGAGAACTGAATTACTGAATTTTAATAGAATTTCAGTAACTTTAATAAGGGGAACGAGTTTGATATAAAAATGAAACATTTTTTCTGTAGGCTTTAAACCCATCTCTATCACCGAGATACGTATAGTTTTGATTTCTGATGCTAGTTAATCACTGAAGAACGAGGAGAATTTCCCCTTAAATTCTTACATTTAATTCTGTGGTTCCATGATAACAAAAAAAAGAAAAAAAAGGAAACGTGCAGAAACAAAAAAAGAAAAAAAAAAGAAAAGAAGAATAATATCAAGAAAATAAAAAAATGAAAATTAATAACTGTATCCACTGTAGATACCTTGTCCTCAACATCGTTGTCAGTAACATTTTTTATCTCTAACATTTGGACTGGCGGCCCTTCTTTTCTCTCAAATACTCGTTCAATGTTAGCAAACTGTTCCTCCCACTTGTATGGAATAGTAATATCCAGTTGGCGTCTTTTACTTTCAGTATAGTATCTCACAAACAAATACGAGTTTTGTGGCTTAAAAAAACTCTGGTGACTGTTTCTGAATGCGACTCTCACCGACACTGGAAACCTTTTTAGGAAACCTGAAAAACATGCTCAATAATAATGGTTCTTTCAACTAAACCGCTCCACTGAATACATAAACATACCGAAAAGCTGCATAAGGGTTGAGAATGTCGCAGGACTGAATACAATACTGATATAAAAGTTCGCAATACTTATCCCACGGCAAACCTTAAGTCGGGCTAATCAATTTCTGCTTTCTTCCAGACATATAAAATGTTATTCATAAGACCAATTAATGTTATACCAAACAGTACTGT